TCACAACTTCAGTTAGAAGTAACTGCAACTATAGCTCAGAGTTAATAAATGGTAGCGGGTTGGATTGCTAGCCTCAAGGGAAATCCCCAAGACACAGGGGTAGGGTAGGGATTTCCTGGTATGAAAAATATGTTCTGGCCTTTTCTTGCTCTCCCAAGAGTGCTCTGTGCCCTTCTCCTCATCCTCAGGAGAGCAGCTGAAGCTGAGGAGAAGTTGCTGGGGCATTTTGAGTTGGCTAAGCCTCTCTACCTTTGGTTAAAACAAGAGCTTTCCTTAATTCAATCAGCCTTTTAATTACATATGCTCCCTAACTGCCATTTTAAGTTCTCCCTTTAGCTCTTAGTCAGCTTTTCATACTGCATTTAAGTGTGACGTCACATGGGCCTATATTATCACTACTAAAGAATGGAAAGTAAAGTGTCTTTCCTCCTAGCCAATTTCCATGTGTTTCATGCCTAGTTTTTAGAATTTGGGAAGGTTTGGGGAAGGATGTCTTGAGCCCCAGGGAAAGGTCATTTTTAGCAATTTAGTATTCCAGCAGATTTAAGGCAGAAGGTGGGTGGAAGTGGGACCCTGTAGAACCAATGAGGTTTGCCCGATGGAGGCGCCCTTCCTGATTCCCAAAGGCAATTTTTTAAGGCAGAGAATCTAGAGAAAGGAGAGCAGCATGAGGAGTTTTTTTGGTCACATGGAGTCCTGCCAGAGCTGAGGGCTGTCCAGCTACTGTGGAGAAGATGGGCAGGAGAGCCTGTGAGCAGCTGCAGCCTGCTGCCCGGCACCCTCAGGCCGAGCCACCATCAAGCATTCTAGAGTTCCCTGCACCAGGATGGGGGTGCTGGTCTGGTGGTTGCCTCCCCAGACCCTGACTAGGGGAAAGGTGAGACTCGCTCATCCTCCAGGAGGTGGGCTTGGCTTCCATGTTCCCCTTCTATCTACTTTGAAGGTTTGTGTTATTTCTCCCAAATCTCTAGCTAACGGTGGTACTTGTCAATTTCTGAACTAGCTCGCATCGGAGGAACACCCAAGTGATGTCTGGTTATCCTCAGGATGGAACATGGTGCCCATTCTGGGCTCACATGACGTGTTCTTGGGTCATTAGTTCCAATACAGTCATTCTTTTTGGTTGCTCTGCTGTTTTGAACACATTGAGGGTTTTGGGGTTTTGTTTTTTTGAGGTTTTTTTTTTTTTTTTTGGTTTTTCTTGGGGGAGGGTTAAGAAACTACCAGGGTACCAGGGTAAGGATAGCTTTCCCAGCCAGCTGGAATTTTTTAACTCTTGAATATAATATGCATACAGAAAAGTGCCTTATCATAAATGAATTTTCACAAAAAGAACACGGTACCCACATCGAAGAACCAAACATGACCTGCACCCCGCCTCCTGCTTCCTTCCAGTCACCTCCAGCCCCTGAGGGCACCCCCTTTTCTGACTTCTAAGAACACAGATTCTCCCTAGCAGGCTGGGGTTTATCCTCAGCTCACATGACAACCTGACTTGCAGCTGCCATCCAGTTCAGAGTTGGTGAAGCTGCTGGGGCTCAGCAGGTTTGATTTGGGACAGAATTCCAGAGGGAGGGCCCATGCAGCAATTCCAAGCCCAGCACATATCTAGCTGCTGCTTCAGCCACCCATGAGGAGATAGGTCGGCCCCATCTTGGCTGTCAGATGGTCTTCCAGTCTCCAGGGGGGATGTCCGGGAGGTCCGCCTGGTGACTCAGTGTAGAGGGGGATGGAGGTAGAGTTCTCCTTCCATGTGCTTCTAGAAGTCTTGCCATGTGTTCCAGGCAGTGGGAGGTCCCTGGATCAGGATGACTCAGTACCATCTATGTACAAAGTAGCTGAGGTCTGCGCCTTGATAAAACCACGTGGCATTTGGTTGGACTTGCCCCATTCTGTGCAGCCCTCACTGTTTGGAAACCGTTTTCCCCCAGCACTTATGTCAGGTCCTCTGTTTACCTGTGTGACTCTAAGCCCAGGTGCCAGCTGCCAGCCTGGATCTATTTGCCTCCTCAGCTGACCTCCATCTGTCTTCCTTCATTGGCTCCCACTGAAAGCTGACTCTATATTATTAATGAAAAGCCAGACTTGCCTTTGTGCTCACCTCCCCAACCCCCCCCCCACCCCCCATGCATGGCATGCATCATTAGACTCTGGCTTCTGCTTCCTCAGCAAAGAGCTGCTCTAATTGTGCAAGACAGAGGGTGCAAGTGCTGGCCAGAGCTAGTGGTCAGGAAGAGATGCTTCTGTACTGGTCAGTGTGGCTGGACAGAGAAGCCCTCCTTCTGGGAAGACTATGTCCTGACTAAGGGGTAGTTAGATTTTCCTCTCAAATCTTTTTGACACAGTGTCTCTCTGTTCTCTACAACCATCTCAGTATGCCCTGGGTGGGCTGTCACACAGAGGCAAGGAGCCCTGGAGAGACTTGAGTTGTGTTTCTACTATACCTGGAAGACGAGCAGAAGAGATGGGGCAAGTGCCCTCTGACTCAGGCTGGAAAGGTCTTGGGAACGATCTGGTCGGCATTTCTCTAACAAAGTGTATGTAAGAAAAACTTGGGAGGTACGTGGAATAGACAGTTTTTCAGGTTCCCTCCCTCCTCTAGGTCTAGGCTAAGGCCCAGAAATGTGCATATTTGGGAAGCATTCCAGGTGCTTCTGATGTAGCTGACCCTAAGCTATAGTTTGAGAGACGTTAAGCTAGACAACCCCTTGCCCAGGTTACAGATGGGGAGAAAGCAAGAACCAGAGGCCTCTAATGGCTCACTCAAGGTTGTATGGAACAAGGCCCGGAACCTGCGTCCTGCCTTCTTTCCATGCCTGCCCTGCTCTTGTCACCTCCCACACACTGAACCTGTTGATGAAGCTCCAAGGCCCTAACCCTATTTCTTCTTTGTTGGGCCTCTTGCCCTGCCTTTCCTCCCCTCTTACTGCCATGTTAAGACACAGAATGGGATTTCTACGAAGGTCAAACACCTTCTTGCCTGGCTCCAGTCCTTCTTCCTCCCCCCACAACCATGTTACTCTCCCTAAAACATGGATTACTCCCTGCCCTGCCCCTCCACCTATGAGATGAGGTGGGAAGGGCTTGGCCTGCCACTCCGTGCCTCCCCCATTTGACCCAACCTATCTTTTTGACCTTAGACTCCATCACATCCATATAACTCCTTCTCTACACTATTTCCCTCAAATACCATCTTGTTCTTTCTTGCCTCTGCTCATGTGATGCCATCATCATCTTGGCCAAGAGCATTTCCCCCCTGCCACATGGAATCCTACCCATCCTCCAAGGTCCAGGTGAAAGCCTTCCTCCTCCAGGAAACCTTCCTTAACCATCCAGCCTTAGCACTCTCGTCTTCCTCTGAACTATCAGAGCACTGAACCATTTATTATGTTGTTATTACCTATTGTATTCTGTTTTGAATTGTGAGCTTTAAGTAATTCCCAGCTACAGACCACAGCCTATCCTTCCAGTTACCTACTCCCTTAGCAATGTGCCTTGCACATAAGTACATAAGGGATGTTAGTAATGACAGAGCCACACAATGTCAGAGCCAAGGAGACCTTGGCTGTAGGTAGCTGGTTGGTTAGTTCAATGACTTTTCTATGCCTCCAGGGCTAACAAACATCCAAAGGCTAATTTCTCTGGATTCTCCTTCCACTGTAGTAATCAACTTTCCTGTCGTCACCCCTCCTGTGCCAATGAGGCCAGTTCCACCCTCTTGCTCACCATAACAATCCATCTTGCACATCCCCTGTGACTCGGTCCCTAACAAGATATTACAGTATCCACGGGGGATATGTTCCAAGACCTCCAATAGATGCCTGAAACTTCAGATTGTACCAAACTCTATATATAGTATGCTTTTTCCTATACATACATAACTATGATAAAGTTTAATTTATGAATGAAGCACAGTGAGATATTCACAACAAAAATAGTAAAACAGAATAATTATAGTATACTATATTAAAAGTTATGTGAATGTGGTCTCCCCTACCCCTTCTTCGATAACGGAGACAGTTACAAAGTGACTAACGGGTGGGTAGCATACGCAGCGTGGACGTGCTGAACAAAGGGGTGATTCGCACCCTGGGACGGACTGAGAGAGAGGGCTCGCGATTTCATCATGCTGCTCAGAATGGCGCATGATTTAAAACGGATGAATTGTTATATCTGGAATTTTCCAGCTTATCTTTTCAAACCGTGGTTGACCTTGGGTAACAGAAACTACGGAGAGTGAAACCAAAGATAAGGAGGAATAACCGAATTAACATCACTGTACTTGCCAATGGGCCTAGGTACTTGGCCTCCCGTTCTCACTCCAGCTAATGGCCAAATTTCTAATTCAGTGCAACACACCAGCTATGCTGATTTCAAGCTGCTTATCTTGCAGGCCTGCCAGGATAGCTAATGTCGTTCTTAACCCAATCCTGCAGAAACTCTGTTACCCACTCGATGTACCTCTCTCTCCATTCAAGACAAGAATCCCTCTTATATTAAGGATCAATCATCACTACTTTGTCCATTGCGTGCTTATGAACAGGGCGAGAAGACGTTCATTCTAGATGCACTGACGGGTTACGTTCCAGGGCCTGAGCCAAGCTTTCAGAAAAGAGCTCTTTATTCTTTGTTTATTGTAGGATAAATGTCTTACGGAAGAGAAAGGCTCTCTCCTGCCCGGGGCCCTTGTCCTTGGAAGTGCCTTGGGCATCTTTACCTGGGAGGCTTGGTAGAAATCCTTGCAGGAATCTGGAAGCCTTAACACTATGACTCACAGTTCAAATGCACACAGCAGGCACATCAGCTTGGAGAAAGCACTGCATGCAACCTGGGTGGAGTGATTCCTGACAGAGGCCTTTGTGTCTGTCCTGTTTTAACGATGCCGGAACTGCTCCTCTGAACCCCCAAAATAATCGCCACAGATCAGGACATTTCTGGCTTTCTCATTCAACACAGCTCCTCAAAAAAAAAAAAATTTTTTTTATAAGATCTTTACTTACCAGAATAGGTCCACTCGGATCCTGCAAAGAACAAAACAAAGCAAGTAAGTACAACTGAGCTTGAACGAATTCGAGAAAATATTACCAATTTTATTTTGAAATGGATGAGATTGAAAAGGTAGTGGATGCCCGGAACTAAAAATTGTTCCAGAGTCTCTGTCAGAACAACTGCTTCTCAGAGCAACTGTGCTCACAAGGGAGACTCAAGGCAGCGAGTTCGTGCAGGGTTTATGGATTAGGGAGGAGGCTCCCCAGACATCTTAGAGAAGCCAAATTTTATTATCTGAACAGGTAATTAATTTACATGGCTCAAAAGCCAAAAGCTGCTAAAGCATGTACCGTGAAAGCTCTCCTCCAACTGGCTCTCCCTGCTTCCTTTAGACACAGCCAGTTTCACCAGACGATGGGAACATGACCGCAGCGTGACTGCACACACACGGGGAGTTAGTTGTACTCGTTCCCCTTTTTTTTCACACAAACGTTTGCACACTAGAAACACAGTTTTGCATCTTGCTTTTTCCCACTTAACGACATATACTAGAGAGCAGCTCACATCAGTACATAAAGAGGAGACAACTACATTCAAAAGGAACATTTCTCTTTGGGGAAGCTGCCACCCTCATCTGAGTTAGAATTCCAGGAGTGGTAGGAATGAGTGGGAGAAGTTCTGCCAGGAATATAAGGAAAGTCACCTACCGCTTCCCACTCCACTCCCTTCACACATAAAAGTTCTTCATTCGTACCTCAAACATATTTTTTAAAAATCAGTGCAGAGCTGTGTCCTCATTATCCAGCCCGACACCTCCCTCTTCACCTCCATAAGGAAACTGAGACACATCACAATGAGGAGACTGTTCGACTCCTAAGTCACTCTCTCCTAGCTTCTTGTAATGCTCTTGTGTTCTTGGCTCACAGGAAACAGCTGGAAACGGAAGACATCCCATTTCTCTCTTGAGAACTGATTTGCCATAAGACTTAACTGGCCAGCGATCTTGTCACTTATCACAACTGAGCACGTCCTACTAAAGCCAATGATCATTTTAAAAAACTTAAACGAGGATTTTGTTTAAAAAAAAAACAAAAAAAAAGGCTGGTTTAATCTCATGTTTTTTTGTTATTCTAATTCATTTATTTGCCTTACTGCTTTTAATTAATTTTGTTTTTAATTTTCAAAATTAGTAATGTTATCAAATTATAAGTGGTTTAAAAAGTCAGGTGGTTCTACAAGACTTTTTATTAAAAAAAAAAAATCAGTTCCCTGACACCCCTAGTCATTTTTCTGCTTTCTAGGGCATTCACTTTGAATACTCTTTAAATAATTCTTTTGGTATTATCTCCATATCTCTATAAAACATACCTATATTGCTCTTTCATGATTTGTTTAGGTTTAAGCATTTATTGACACCCCATTCCTAAGTTCCCATGGACTTAGGGAATCTTAGAGTCCAATCTTTAGAGTAGTGGGTGTGTGTGTGTAGGTGCGTGGTAAACACCGCTTAGAATCTCTGATGAGTACCATGAACCTTTTCCTCATAAAAATACCCATAAGCTTAGACACACAAAAGTTCATATACAATTAATGTCAGAAGGCCCACAGAACCCCTGAAACCTGCTACGGATCCCACAGGAGCTAACAGTCCCAAGATTAACTTCCCCTGAACTAGCTATTGGATGAAGACGTTCAAAACCATGTGGAAACCAAACGTGTATGTGACCCCTAAGTTTACTCAAGCCCTTTCACTGAAACAACAGCAAACAGGGACAAGATTCGGTGCTTTGAGTATAAATAGCAGTGTCTGGAGAGGCTCAGGAGCTGGATTCTGGGGAGCAGAAGCAATGTAAAATGAAGAGGAGAGTGATCTGAGTCAGGAGGTTCATCAGTGAAGGTCAGGGCCCAGCACCTGGTGCACTGCCAGCTCAGAGCTGACCTCAGGAAGGCTTTATAAAGGTAGTGTGCATGTGCGTGCTCCCTGTGTCTTGCTCGGGGGCAGGAGTCTTAACAAGACTAAACTAACTCCGCGAGGCAGGCCAGGCCAAGGCCCAGCAGCTAAACTTTGGTAGCTTCCCGAGGGAGCAGGCCCTTTCAGGAGGGAGACTGTTCCCTTCCCAAGAAGGTCAGAAACTGGGGAGGCCAAGCTGGATGCTATTAGAACCTGCAGGCCCAGTGTGTATGGGCAGGGAGGAAGCTCTGGGTGCTCACTGGGGAGGTGATATTTACAAAGATCCAGGTCAGGGGTTCAGGGCCCCGCCTGCTGTCTGTCCTGGGTGCTAGCTAGGTCCTTTCCTGAATTCTTGAGACTGCCCAGCCCTTCACACCAGGTTCAGGCAGAGCAGGCTCTGCAGAATTCATTGAAATGTTCCCCCCAACTAAGAATTGCAAGGTTTTCTCCAGAAAACACTTGACTTCATCTTATTTTGCTCCCTCCTTCCCCAACCCCGGACTTTTTTTTTTTTTTTTTCCTGACATTCACCAGTGCCAACTGCTGAAAGTTTAAAGACTCCAGGCAAAGGGCAAACCACACTTTGACCCCATTACCCAGCTTACCCCCACTACCTCCAACCTTGGGTTTAATACTGACACTCTACACCTCAGTGATTTTTCTGTTGACCCCAAGGCAGTTAAAAAGCCAAAAATCTCATGAGGAATAACAAAATAAAAACTGGGTACTTAGAATCTAGGGGTAGGCAGGCTGGCTACTCAGTGTGGGTGGAAAGTGGATTTTTCACTGCAAGCTTCCCCCACCCTAATTTGGAGAATGGGGGTGAGTTTTTTTGAGTAGGAGGTGGAAGGGCCAGGAGGAGAGGGGAAGGCAGTGAGGGAGGAAAGGGCATGGAGGGTGAACCTGGCAGGGAAAGATCCAGAAGGGAAGAGGAGCTGCTGCTAGAGTGAGGGGAGTAACGGGCTTTCAGAAGAAAGAGCCAATGAATGGCTGTTTCTTTTGTCTTAGAGCAGCTTGAAAGTAAAAGGGGGAGATTTCTAGTGAAATATCAAGTCTCAGCACAGCTTTCTCTAGAGGGGAATATATGTCAAAGTTTGCAGTTTTAAAAATTAATTTCCACTTTTATGTAACTCCTTTCTCCTACCTACCTCCTATTTCTCCCCAAGCGAGATAATATCAAACATATCATGGAACCAGTGGATTGGAATTGAATTCCAAGTAAAGCCAGAGCTGCTGACAGCCCGGCTCCCCTGCTTCCCCCGCCCTGCCCCACGGGCACAATGACCTCCAAGAGAGACGGAGGCTCTGAGCTTTCACTCTGCTGAGTAGGACAAATTTCCCACCACCACTGCCTAGCCAGGGAGTATAGATTTTCAGCCATTATGGTCACTTCGGGCCCTGCTTTAAGCCTTTCAACCTAACCTGGGTCCAGGAATTATAGCACCCACAAATGTCTCTACGACTTGGGGCAAACCCTGTCAAGGGCAGGAGCTACCATCAGTTACCCAGAAAGTTTCCAGAAATGTCACCATTTGCTCTCCCAGAAAACCACTCACCCAGCTATTGGAGAAGCAGGCAAAAGCTTGACATCCTTCTCTTGTTACAAAGGATTGACTAACCTGACCTTGGCTACTCACCGCAACTCACTGTACAGACCTGAGTCTACATTTCAGGTTCCTCCACTTCCTGCTGCCACTTCACTCTGCACCCTCAGCCTCCAGCCCTTTCAGAGTTAAGGGCCCTAGTTAAACTCAGAAATAAGGTGTATACGTCCATCTGAGTGCACACATGCGTACATTCAGAATAGAAGAGCCCTTCTGAAGAAAAACAATCATTAAGGATGGGATGCATCATCCCTTTGACTTGCAAATAAAACTTAATGGTAAGGAGCATCTCCTCCGAAGAAAAGCACCCACGTCTGTCAGAGGGTTCTGCACTGGGGTGACTGCAAATTCAGTGCTGGCAATGACACTGCTCAGAATGCCACAGTTACTTCTCTACTGCCTGCACGTGGATCTGGGTACAATGTTTAAAATCCCGGTTTCCTTTCTCCTCCACAGTTAGCAAGTTCCCAAGCAACCTTATCAGAGCTGGGGATGCTCTGAGAATATGCAAACATATTTTATTACAAAGACAACGTGCTTCCCCCAACCAAAGCAGATAATACATTCCAAAGAAAAACGGAGCATCCCTTATTTTTGATACTGTGTATGGCCTTTCCTGCTCCCCCCAAATAATTTTACTTTATCGTTTAAAAAAAAAAAAACCCGCAGGAAATCCTTCCATCCAGGTGTGGCTGAGCACTCATGGCTATTAGGAAAGAGACAAAAACTTTACCGCTGAGTGAGGCTGGGCTGGAAGTCTGTTCCTTTAAGATCACGAGCAGGAGGATGGCCGCTGCGTGCAGGCTGCGGTGGGGCATCTTCGGGTGGCTTCTGTGGTGCAAGCTCAGGCTGTCCGGGGCTCCAGCTCCTTCTCAGTCCGGTCTCGGTGCTGAGGAAGCAGGGCGCGCACCGGGACCACGTGCGCGCAGCCGGGTGCGGTAGGAGCACTTCTGTTCTTTAGGCTCTTGGCTCCCCCGCGAGCTGCTTTTATAGAGCAACTCAGCCCCAAACACATGATGTCATCATGGGGGGAAGGACGCCCTGCCTCCAGGAGATCTGGCGCCCCACTTCCAAGGTAAACTGTGGCCCAGACTTCAGCCGCGTTCGGTGGAGCAGTGGCTCTGAGCGCTCCGCCGGAATGGGGCTGACCTGGAAAGCCAGCTTTCCGTGAGAGCAGCGGGCAGGCGTGGGGGAGGCCCGCCTGCCTTGGCCGCATCAGGAAGGGTGAGTCTAGGGACTCCCTTCAGTGGCAGTGGTCTTGGTCTGTTACTGCCCTTCTCAAGAAGCACCCTCAGTAAAATGCCGTATGGACAAGAGCCTCCTTCAGGGCTGAAATGTGTGCCTGCCTGAACTGGGCACTGGTTAGGGATTAAACAAGGTAGCAGGGAGGCTGCATTCAAATTCAGAATTTCTGTGGCTGGTACATTGCTTCATGATATCTTCGAAATTCAGATGCAAAGAAATTAAGACTAGGTACAAGTGAACAGCTTTACTAAGCAATTAGACTGTATCCTGCTAACAAACAGGATACAAGGCTGAAGCTAGTTCATAATATCCATCCATTCTCTAAGAAGGAAGGGAGGAATCCCTTTCTCTGGGTAGCAGTGGAAGAAAGGGACTTACATTATTTATTGAGCACTTACTATATGTCAAGGAATGTACTAGGCATTTTGCATCTTGGTCTAGATCAGTATCTGAGTTCTGTTTCCAGCACATGTTATCATCATCTGTTGTTCATGTCTGCCTACTTTTCTCACATATTTGTATTCATTTAAATATGTGTATACATACATTTAGTCATGTTACATGCACTTCTGATCCCCTTTGTATGTAGTCCCTATTCAGTTAAGTCAAAGGTCTAATTAACCTGCTCTCCCCAATACTCCTTAAATCTTCCTGTTGCTGTTATTACCACTTGCTGTTCCCACCACCCTGTTGTTTGTGTTTCTGGCTTCTCTGGGCCCTCTGAATGTCCCAGCACTGCTTCTGGTGCTGGGCTTGGTTTCTTTCCCGCTCTGTGACCCTGCCTGCTCTCTTGGCTCCCTGCTGCCTACAGTCATTGCTCAGAGCACACGTCTGCTGGAGGGTGATCAAGCCGTGGTTCATGATCCCTGGTTCTGTGGCCTGACCCATATTGCCCTCTTCTCTTGGCCACAGCAGCCTGACCAGCCCTTACTTCTCCCGGGTCTGTGCTGACCCTCAGCCTAAGAGGACTCTCAGGCTAGCCTCGGTGACTAGTGAAACCACTTGTCCATGGTGGTTTTAGAGGAATAGAGTAGCTTCTCTGCTGAGGACCGTCAGGAAGCACATGCCACCCACATTTCAAGGGATGTAACTATTCTGTCCCTATCAGTTCAACCTTTGTTTGGGTTAATAAAGGGCTTTGGAGTCTTGTTAAGGAAGTAATTACAAAGACAGTCTTCTTACAGGTACTTCTAGACCACAGTAGGCTTAAGAATGACCTTTTCTGCCTGAAACTCCTGATAAAGAGCCTTGAGTGAACTCCCAAGTGGTATGTGAGCACTTCACTTGTAGTTAAGATGTTCATGTCTCTGATTTGTCATTAAGAGCTTTAGAAGGTGAAATGTACTAGAGGAACACAAAAGGTTGAGATGGAGCCACTGCAGTTCAGAGATGCACATAATGAATCCATGGAGGTGAAATCACTCTCCTCACATCTCAAGGCAAGTTACAGGTAAACCAGGCCATGAACATGCATTTTGTTACTCCCATCCCAGGTGTTCTCCTGTTATGTCTGGCTAAACATTAATTCAGTTTCTCCTTAAACATGCACCTCTAAGTGTTCTCCAGGGATCCCCATTGACGGAGAGGTTTTTTTAAAAGTGGGGTGGAATTAGTAGAACATAAAGCAAGATTGTAAACTGGGTTTGATGTAAAGAAAGGGGAGGGTTGAGATGTTTACTGCATGTCTAGATCAGAGACCTGGTTAATTAGGAAGAATGGGTAGCAATTAAAAGAGAATTGGTGAGGGGGAAGCAAACAGAAATGGATGGAATGACCAAACGTCTAAAATATTGAAACCAAATGTTAAGAGCCGCTCCCCACCCCAACAAACAGCACAAAGCTAACCAGCTCTGGGAAACTTCCCTGCCGGAAGCTTCCTGAAGCCTGTGTGGCTAAACATATACGGACTTGCTTTGTCATTATCAGATGGGGCTATTGCCAACCAATAAATAACCCATTACTCAACAGGTTAGGGTGGAAAGTGGACCTTCAGCAAGTAAAATGTGGCAGCTGGTCACCAAATGACCTGTCCAGACAGAGGGTTCCAGAGGACAGGGCTCTTCTAAACTGTCACCATCTGACTGGAAATTAATATTGTGAAAATGTCTATACTATGCAAAGTAAGCTACAGATTCAATGCATTTCTCTATCAAAATTCCAATGACATTTTTCACAGAAATAGAACAAACAATCCTAAAATGTTTATGGAACCACAAAAGACCCCAAATACCTAAAGCAATCTTAAAAAAGAAAAACAAAGGTGGGAGCATCGCACTCTCTGACGACTTCAAACTATATTATAAAGTTATAGTAATCAAAATAGTATTGTATTAGCATAAAAACAGACATACGGATCAATGGAACAGGATAGATATCATGAAAATAAACTTACATATATAGTCAATTAATTTACAATAAAGAAGGCAAGAATATACAATGGAGAAAGGACAGTCTCTTCAATGGTGTTGAGAAAACTGGACAGCCACATGCAAAAAAATGAAACTATATTATTATCTTATACTAAAATTTAACTCAAAATGGATTAAAGATTTGAATATAAAACCTGAATCCATAAAAAACACAGGCAATAAGCTCCTTGACATCAGTCTTGGAGATGAGTTTTGGATTTGACTCCAAAAAAACAAAAGCAAAAATAAGCAAATGGGACCACATCAAACTAAAAGGCTTCTGCACAGCAAAGGGAAACAAACATTTCAACGAAATGCAAAAACAAACTACTGAATAGTAAAAAAATTTGCAAATTATATATCTGATAAGGGGTTAATATTTAAAATATATTAAGTACTCATATAATTCAATAGCAAAAACAAAAAACAAAAACACAATTTAAAAATGGGCAGAGGATTAAATAGACATTTTTCCAAAGAAGACCTACAGATGGCCAACAGGCTCATGGAAAGATACTCAGCATTATTAATCATTAAATCAAAACCACAATGAGTGACCATCTCACACCTGTGAGAATGGTCATTATCAAAAAGACAAGAAGTAAGAAATGTTGGCGAGGGAACCCTCATTGGAGAAAAGGGGATCTATGTGCACTACTGGTAGGAAAGTAAATTAGTGCAGGCGCTATAGAAAAGAGTATGGAGGGTCCTCAAAAATTAAAATAGAACTATGATATGATTTAGCAATTCTACCACTAGATATTTATCTGAAGAAAATAAAAACAGTAATTGAAAAGACATATGTACCCCTGTTCATTGCAGCATTATTTACAATATCCAAGATATGGAAACAACTCAACTGTCCATCAATGGAAGAATAGGTAAAGAAGATATGGTATACACACATATACACACACATGAGTGGAATACCAGTCAGCCATAAAAAAGAATGAATCTTGCCATTTGTAACATGGATGGACTTTGAGGAAATCATGCTAAGTGAAATAAGTCAGACAGAGAAAGACAAATACCATATGATCTCGCTTACATGTGGAATCTAAAAAAGAAAACAAACAAACAAAACTCATAGATACAGAGAACAGAACAGTGATTACTAGAGCGGGGTTAGGAAGTGGGTGAAATAGGTAAAGGGGGTCAAGAAGTACAAACTTCCAATTATTAAATAAGTCACGGGGATGTAATTTACAGCATAGTGGCTATTGTCAATAATACTGTGGTGCATACTTGAAAGTTAACAGGGAGTAAATCCTGAAAGTTCTCGTCACAAGAAAAAAAAATATTTTTGTACTTCTGTATGGTGATTAATGATAACTAGATTTATGATGGTGATCATTTTGCAGTGTATTCAAATATTGAATCCTTATGTTATATACCTGACACTAATATAATGTTATATATCAATTATATCTTTTTAAAAAGTCACCATCTGAATTGACATGAAAGTGAGGCTGACGAGTCAAAGGGCAAAGGAGCACACAAGCAAGAAATGTGGGTTTTGGTGTCAGGAGGTCTGGGCTGAAGCACCTGCTCCACCACTTACTAGTGGTGACAGTGGTGCAATCGCTGAACTCCAGTTTTTTCATCTGTAAAATGCAGGCCCTAATCCTGGTCACTAACAGAAATGACATATGGCTGGAATGAGATAAGGCAAGCGGAAGCTTTTCTGTTCATTCATTCATTTACCCTCTACGTGCCAGGCACTGTGCTAGGCATATTCCTTGTTCTTGGTGAGTATACAAACAGAAAACAAATAATCTCATAAATAACTATATAATTATGATTATAATAAATGTGATAGAAGATAGACGTATAATCAGGAGGGACTCATTCTGTCCTGTGGCAGTGAGGGAAGACATCAGTATAAGAATTAGATTCTGCGACTTCATAAAACTTTTGAAACATACAGCTAATACCAGTCTCTTCTGTCTCAGAGCTGGTGCCATTGGGCAGCATTTGCCTTTTGCACAAGCTAATTACTGGCCTTTAGGCTTAAGGGTTAGACTACAGAAAATTTTATTTCTTAAGGTAAGAATTAGCTCTTCAAATAATGTCACTCAATTGAGAATTCAGCCTTGTATGGAACTAAAGAAAGGACTTGTGGGAGGAGAGCTAACATTTATTGGTTATCTACTGTTTGCCTGATGCTGTGCTTGGCACTTAATTCTTACAACAACCTGTGGGGATGGTGTTAGGTTTGTTTTTTTATAGATGAGGAATCTGAGGCTTAAAGCAGTTAAAACCTTTTCTCGCACAAGTTCATGAGGCTTTTGAGTGGCACAGACTGAATTCTCAGCCAGATGATTCTGTCTCCAAGG